AATGGAATCGTCCAACATTTTTGATCAGTATCTTGAACCACTCGTCGGCAACGCGAAGAGATTTTAATCCCCAACCACGCGTTGTAGACGGGTATACGCGTTGCTTTATTTTGCGAGGCTCCCTTAGGGGGATTGTTGTCCTGGACCAGAGGAAAGTGGCCGTGTTCGGGTGTTGATTAAAATGTTGCAAAATATAGGGGTTTCAGGGGCTTACAAAATCGACTTTACATATAGGCTGGTATATAATTACTAATATGTAGAAAATATGTATAATTTTTTTTCTGCCCGACGAATTGTGGTTTTTCTTCTTTTCTGGGGAAGAAAAAAACGGGGGAGGAGGGTAGAAATAAAATTTTCAGGGGGAAAAATTCCCCCTTCTAGCGCTGCCACTACGCACTGTTTAATGTTGTATGTCGTGGTGCATCATCTTCTATCTAATCTTGTTGTTGGGATATGGAGTAGTACTGGTAATATTTAGACATGGGCAGGGGGTCCGCGAAGGCTTATGACATGTACCAAGGGGTCCATGAATGCAAAAATGTTGGGAACCACTCCACTAGAACACAGCACAATAGTCTGAATATAAGCCAAGATGTAACATGAATCATTGTCATTCGGTTTTAAAGATCCGGTAATGGATTTGTCTGTTTATATTAATGCAGTACTTTTCATTATGATGCCAAAAATTTAGCAGAAACTTTCACCTTCGAGGAGTGTTATGAAATCCATCTAATAGGCCAAATAAAGGCCTGTTTATACTTCAACGATAAAGATAAGAGATAAAAAGCAATTGTTCATATAGAAAATAAAAGAAATAAGAGAAGTTTTTACACTAGAACGATTCGATAACGATTTATCAGTTATGCGATAACAACATATTTTGACAAATCAAATGACGTCATAATCATGGAAAAACATTAAAATCGTAGTAGTAGCAATGATTTTATCGTTTTTCCATGATTAATGACGTCATCTGATTTGATTTTTAAAATATTTTGTTATCGTATACAAGTATAAACAGGCCTTTAATGTATAGATTTTAATGTTTCTTACGATCACACAATTAAATGAATATAACTGAGTGCTAAAGCAGTTCTAAATTTATTTAAAACTTCTCCTTTAATAACAATAGCAGTATACCTTTCAGTAAAGCTGCGACAGCTGGGTAACTTGGTAATCCTTCAATAAAATCATCAATCTTTTCTTCACAAAGCTCTTTTCTTTGCTCTAGATCCAGAATCAAATGCCAGCTATCTTTATAATGCTTTAAGAGCGGTGACTTATTATGCCGTGTATCGAGCTCCTCTATATCATCTTCAGTCAGTTCCATTCCCAGCTTTAACAGGAACTGTCTGTACCATGAGAATTTAATCACTTCATGTTCCCTGATTCTTTGTAAAGATGGAAGTACAATTTTGGAGTTGAAGCCAAATTGTCCAGTCACTATTAATGTGTCATACAGGATAGTGAGATTTGTTGAACTCAAATTCCCTGAAGCAATTAACTGTTGCATCAAGGCCATTACTTTAGTAGCCATTATTAAATCATTATAACTTGGTACAAGATCTCTGTTGTTGTACAGAACTTTCAGCCTATTGATGAATCCAAGTCCATCATACCATTTTGAAAAATCTAGTAACAGCTGCCTGAAATTGCCCTCCGTAATTCCTATGATAAATAGGTGACAAAAAAATTAATCAAAATACTGTACTGTAGAAATGTTAAGTTGATATCAAATCTGAATGAAAAATGTGTATTTGATCATAACAATTAAAATTCCATCATATACCGTACTGTAGTCATAACCAGAGCCTTGGTTTTGTTTCAAGATGTAGTAAGGCAATGTCTTGGATGGCTATGCTCAATCTTTATAAAACTTTAATATTACCGGTTATGACGTACTGTTGCTGCATGTGGGCACCTACTGAAATTTCAAATATTTATAGACTAGAAAGGGTACAAGAAAGGCAACTAGAATAATTATGTACAGAAAGGAAGGAAATTGGGACACGTCATATTTATATAGATTAAGGATTTTGAATATTTTAAGCATGGAGGATATTTTTAAAGTATATCGACTAACGTTAGGTTTTAAAATAATGCATGGCCAATGTCCATTGTTGTTTAATAATCTTGTGAGATCAAGTGAAAGGTGTGAAGGGCGATTAATACATAAGAAAGCCAAGACTAATACATTTTTAAATTCATCTTTTGTTATTTTTCCTAGATTATGGGAACTTCCTAATGAAATTAAACAATGTACATCCATTTCGGACTTTAAAGCCCAGCTCACAAAACACTTGATCTCAAAATATTAATAGTAATAACTATTAATTATCTCTGTTTTTTAATTTTGTTATAGTTAAATCAATTTATTTTGAATTTACTTTTACTTTTTTGTATATATTTTATATTGTATTGTCATTGTATTTGTTTTTGATGATGGAGTAAGAGCAGTTTACTGTTTGGGCTTATGCCTATTACTTACTCCTGGCAAGAATATTGTATGTATACTTTTTACTTTGCCGAATAAATATTATCAGCATCAGCATCAGCAGCAGCATCAGCATCATGATGATGATGATGATGATGATGATAATGATGATGATGATGATGATGATGATGATGATGATCATCATCATCATCATCATCATCAGCAGCAGCAGCAGCAGCAACAATAATAATAATAATAATCTATTATTATTTCATGGACTATACATGTATTGTATGCCCATTACATATATTATACATTGCAAGATTTGCATAATAAATGAATCAGTTAGCTCTCTGGATAGAGAATCTAGTGTTTCTAACGAATATTGTCTATTTCATCCCTTTAATACCTTCTTGATGAAAGTCAATGGAATAACACTGTTGCTGACCCCACATCCATAGAGGCTTGGACAGTAAAAACATTCCAATATGTTTTAAGTCCACTCCACTCCACCGATTGATTAGCCTAGATTTTGGGACCCAATCTCGCACAAATATCTTTTGACAGGGCCATTTTGTACTTTGTGAGTCTGTCCTATCAAGCCCAATTTTAACAAGGGTTAACCCAGGGTCAATGTTTGTGGAAGGGGTGTTCTAGTAGGCCTTCATGCACAGACAATTTGTCTGGCATTTGAAATTCTCTACTTAGCTTTAAAAGCTTTTTATAATTTGGTGTATCTTTCCTTCCTTGGACAAAGTTTGTAGAGCATCCAAGCACACAAAGTGGAAGGTAGAAAATTAATCTACAAAAATGTGGTAAACATGTATTTCGTGTCCTTAACATATACTTATCAGATGAATTATACAGTCTGACAAAAATTCTACGACTATATAGTTTGTATAATTACAATTTTCATAAAAAATAACAATTATTCAGCACCCAGTACATACCTTTGTCTAGCTCTGGTCTTTTTGATGTTAATGCTTCTCTACTACCTACTGATGAAATAGAAATTGACAATTCATGCATTAGCAGCCTAACAAATAAAGCAATCTTTGAAATAAACTGAATAAATTACATCTATAATAATCAGGTATTTTCACTAAAAATAAGCAACTATTCACCACCCAGTACAAACCTTTGTCTAACTCTGGTCTTTTTGATGTTAATTTTTCTTGAATACCTATTGAGGAAATAGAAATTGAGAGTCTGTGCATTAGTAGCATATCTACAGTAGGGCAACAGAGTGTGTTATTCTTTCTAGTTTTATATATATCAGGGGTGAGCATAAAATCGTTTGGAGAGCCAAAGTGAATTTCTGATTTAACACTGAGGGCTGCACCCAAATTTTGATCTTTCCAGTGCGTTTCTAAAAACCTCCAAGCACTGCTTTTACACCACTTTATTCCCAGTTTTAATACTACGTTTATTTTCCTTTATTTTTAACATTTTTACCAATAATGTGTTTATGCCTAAAATGTAGAAAATACACAAAAATACAACAAAGACCATTTTAAAATCTCTATGAGAATGAGGTGGGTGTGGTCTGCCTATTTTGCTCCTAGGCAAAAAAATTCTGGATCTGCCCCAGATATGGAGAATGGTTTAGCTGTATTTCAGAAATTCAAAAGGCTTTTAATACAGATAAACTGATAGGCACCTGAATTCTAGTTAATAGACAAAATTATTCTGTTTTTCACACTGTATAAAATCAAAATGAAATGATGGACAGCGTGTTTTCATAAATGTACTCAATCATTGCTTGAACCAATCAGACTCCATTATCTGGCACCGGTATCTGATCAAAGTAAAACAGAAAAGTGAAATACTCTGTTGCGATAGCTCAACTTAATACGTACTTGATTACATTTTCCAGGAGTGTTCATTTGGAACTTGCATTGGTCTTAACCATTAGATTTAAATGCTTTCAAAAAATGCAAATTGAGTTATCTAATATTGTATTAACAGTTTATTTATCAAAAAATATTTCAAAAATTTTCAATTGGAAATTAAATCATAGTTATTGCAATTTTTTTTGCAATCTAAATATACCACATCCTTCATTTCAAACAAAACTAATTATGTAAATTACTCTTATAGCCTAATCACATAGGCACCAAAACATAGGATATGACTTATTATCTTCTTGCTTTTGTTGGGAAATACAGTACTCTATATTAAAAATAAACGTGTACTATTTAATTTTCCACACACCTTCCTCTATGCCAATCTTGGTCAAAGATTGGAGGAATGATGGCATCTTATGTTGGGACAGAAATTGTTTTCCTTCAAGATACTGAATCAATTCCCATGAATTAGAGAAGTCGACTCTATATTGATGATTAAGCTTCTGGAGATCCCCGATTGAAAAGCCTTTACCAAGAGAAAGAACACGTTGACGATATGCTGAAAACCGGTTGATCTTCACTTCATCTGGAAAGGGCTCATATTTCTCAATTATTACCTTCAGAAAGTTCAATCCAGTTAGTTCAACTGTTTCAAACAAAACTGAAATGTCTGTTGACTTCAGAATGTTTCCTCTTCTGAGTATTTCAAATAAATCAAATGCACATTTAGCTTTCTGAAATTCTGCTTTCACAATTGAAAAGTCTGTGTACAGAACCTTCAACATTTCCACATCTTTCTTGGGGATTGCCGCAGAAAGATTCACGAGCATAATATTCAACTCTATATGAAGAGACAATAGAAAAAAAGACAATACTATGATAGTTAGCATATTGTGTTAGTCAGTAATATTATTCAAACTATTCAAATAATAGTAATATTATGTGCAGTCGGTAATGACAATTCTTAAATTTTTGTATATATTGTCTGTACTGAAATTGTATGGCCAACATACAATTTAGCTTTCGAGCCATGACTTGTGACTGTTTTTTTTTATATATATGAATAAAAGTGAAATGAATGAAACAATGACACTGACCTGGCACTGGCATACAAATTCCCAATGCATACAAGTACATATGCTCACTTGCCATGCTATTACGTTATTGTTGTTATGTTATTAGGTTAGGATTTGATAATTAGACAGGTGAAGGGACAATCTTCATTGTTACAGTATAGGAATGATCTATTCTAGTTGATGAGAGTAGCCTCTTAAATTAAATTGAAGATTAAACAAACTAACAAGAAGTTCATTAGTACCCTGAACAATTTCTTTTATTTTTGAGGAAAAAAAATATATCAAGATACAATCAAACACGAAAGAAAGAGCAAGTCATGAAGCCTAAAAGAGATGGTGATAAACAATTTATAATTCATGAGATGTGTTGGTTTGGACATGGAGGTTTTAAATAATGTTTTGATATTAAATCATTACTTTAAATGCTCATTTTGGGATGATATATAAATTGTCTCTATGCCAGAGAACTTTATATTGTTACATAATAGATACAAAATTTGTTCTTCAGTATGTTGAAATGTGTTTAGGGATGATTAGGATTTTCCCCAGGGAGTGCATGACTGCATACACTTTGATCATTACCTACTACCATGAGAAGTCCTTTAAAATTGTTAGAGGCGCAAATGCAAAAAATAATTACTTTCTAAATAGTATTTTACCTGCTTTCTCCATTCTTCATTTGTGATCTTCTTCTCACAGCAATTGAGATTCACAGGCTATCACACTGAAATGGATTTAACCGAAATGAAGACATATTTTTTAAATACAGTAGAATCCCAATTAAGAGACACCAAGGAGACCAAAAACGTGTCCCCTTGAATAGGGGTACCGCTATTCAGGTGACATCCCTACTGAATCTCTACTCAGGGACACTAATCAAAGCATGAAATTACCCCCTTAATAGGGAGTTTTGGCATATTTTTATTGTAACGATAACATACAATCTTTATAATTTTATTTTTTTTATAGGAGATGAATTTATTTAACTTGACATATAATACAACCATTGAAAGTAAACTTTCAATGATTGTACACCGTTTTTTTCATTGTTTTTACATTTTATTTCACTTGAAGCATACATATAAATCTCGGGGAAACACCACAGGTTTTACAATTTTCCAAAAATTGACGTCGGCTTCTGCTTTAATTGCTTTTATTTGTAAGCCTCTCCAGTTGTCTGCATTCCACCTTCGATACTGTAATATTTTTAAAGCAGAAGCTGATGTCAACTTTTTGATATATATTCCCAATGTTATTTGCCTATTCCCCACCGTCCACTAATTTTTCAATTAGTGGACGCTCAGCTTGATTTTTTTAGGTTTGTGTGCAAAAATTGTTTCATCACTGCGAAGACATTGATAAAAACCGCGATCAAAATTTATATTGTAATTGAAAATTACTTTCGTAAAACAAGCTTATATTAGAACCTGAAGAAAGTCACTTCAATTCAATATTAAGTATGAACAATTAAGGAATTCATTGAATCAATAGACCCTCATAAACACAACAAACTGAATGTTTAATAGGAATATTCTAGACCTATTTTAAAGACTCAAGGAACAAATTTAGATGTAGGCCTACGGCCAGGCAGGAGGCCGCCCCGGCCATAGCCCAGTGATGGCGCCAGGACCTGCCAGACGGAGGGGCTAAAGGCCCCAACTTGGGGGCTCGTGGAGCGAATCGAGTCACTTGGCTGGGGGCTGCGCCTAGGGCCTCCAGTGGGGGTACAGGGAAGCCATAGATATTTAACGAATTATGGCGAATTTTTATTACTTATTTGATAGGCATCAAGCTACTGTACAGATAGGCTATGGCTGTTTAGTGCTACACAAGCTTGGAAAGCTCTGAACATTTTAACTGTTAGTGATATATTTGGATCATCATTATTAGTTATTTTATAGAATATATTTGAGGCAATAATGTTGTCGTATCAAGATAAACTGTTTGTTATGAAAAACCAAATATAAAAACTCAGAAGCTCCCTTTTTCATAACAAACGATTTAACGAATCTTGGTTTGATTGAAAGGAGGTTCAAGCTCGTACTCGACTTCATTTCTCTGCTGGCAAATGGAAAGGAAAACAAGGGGCTTTAACTCATTTTTACAATCCGCCAATTGGTGGTAAAGTATAATTAATACATTTATACTTCAACTCAACAGAAATGGACATAATATGAATTTTATTGCTATTGTTGTCCTTCAAAAATTATTAATTATTCTTGCATGATGTTGTCTTTAAATCATGGTCCTGTTCATTTTTTTTCATTGATTAGAGCTTTCTGTGACCCTCCATTGCATTTCGCTTGATATATTTGATTACTAAATGTTTTTGTCTAATAAATGTTTGTTTCATTATGTGCCTCTCTCTTGTTTTGTATTTTTTTTGGTGTTTATTAGTAGCGTTAATGTACTATATCACTAATTTCAATGAGTACTTTTTACATTTTGTAAAATTATTGCACTGTCCGAAATCTGGTGCATTAAAAACCCGGGATTTTATTCGAAGCATTCATACTCATTTGAATATAGGTATCGAAAACTTGGCAGAAGTGGTGGTGTTGCCGCTTATATTCACTCATCTCTGAAGTATAATGTCCTAGACGCAGGGTTCCCGGAACGCCGCCCTCAGCAATGAGTGCGATGCACAACTCATGGTCAAAAGTGGGACGTGAAATTTCGATATGGTTTCGTAGTCAGATTTTCGAGAAAAACTTCAGCTACCCGTATTTATCGACTGAGACGTCAGTGGGAGCTGTAATTTGTATGGCAAGGAGATTGTGCAACCCTTAATTCGTTTTAAGGGAATTTACGCCCAGAAACCTTGTAGTTATTAATATTTTGGTTATAATAAAAAATATTCATTTTTTGGTGACGTCACACTCACAATATAGTTAGCTTTTCCTGGTAAGGCAAACTTTCCTGGCATGCTTTTTTATGGATAAACAAACACCACTGCTTTGCACATGGATGCCTTGCCTAGCTAGGGCTACAAGAGCCGCATTGTTAGCACTGTATAATACTTAAACAAGGTACCTCTGCAACTGAATTTGTTGTTTTTTTTTTTCTTATTTTAATTTATTTCTTTCGAAAGTGTATTGGTACTTTCTATCACATAATTGCACTGCTTAGTTAAGCCTGGGCCTAGGCCTTGTCTTATTGTTATGCTTCATCGTGCCCCTACGCAGTACATCAGTAGCCCCCCACCCCCAATACAGTACAGACATTTGCTAGGCAACAGAACATGCTTTTTTATGGATAAACAAACACCACTGCTTTGCACATGGATGCCTTGCCTAGCTAGGGCTACAAGAGCCGCATTGTTAGCACTGTATAATACTTAAACAAGGTACCTCTGCAACTGAATTTGTTGTTTTTTTTTTCTTATTTTAATTTATTTCTTTCGAAAGTGTATTGGTACATTCTATCACATATAATTGCACTGCCTAGTTAGGCCTGGGCCTAGGCCTTGTCTTATTGTTATGCTTCATCGTCCCCCTACGCAGTACATCAGTAGCCCCCCACCCCCAATACAGTACAGACATTTGCTAAGCAACAGAACGTGATTGCACCTTCCTTCCCAGTGTAATTACATTGGCATATTGTTAGCTAACCAGTTGTGTGTGTTTCTTTGTGAAAATGAGTAGGCCTACCGCGGCATACTCGTTTTCACAAAGCATTTGCATCCCCTCTTGGAAAGAGGGAACTTCGAAATAATTGTCTCCATATCTTCGCTAATTAAATTAATCACCGTAATTTAGCTTACACTTATGAATTTAGGGAGCACTTAAAATGTACAATAATCATTTCACTACCCGACAAACCCCAAACTTTATTCATGCATTAGGCCTACATAATAGTTTCATATTGCTGTACTGTGACTCAACATCACTGGCGCATGGGAACAACCAACTGACTGCAGACCATTTCTGTCACACATTACTCTCGATATAACACAGCACCCCCTAGTTCTGTCACCTCTGGATTACCATGTTAATCATTGTGAAACACTATGGCTAGATGTGTCAGACAGAACAAACAATATTATAGTTTGTATTACTTACAGGCGATGCAATACTAATGTTTCTGAATTTTGTGATAGTTTACTAAATATTTTATTTTCACTTAAAGTAGATAAAAAACGATGTGTCCTTATTGGAGATTTTAATTTTGACCTTTTGAAACTGTTAGGCAATGACTGTCAATTTTTAATCTGAAGTCTTAATTGCATCAATATACATCAAAATCTTTCCATTCCATCTAAATATACTAAAAATTCAAAAACCTTGATTGATCACATTTACACAAATATCGAAGATTTTATCGTTCATAGTGGCACAATAACTTGTAATATCTCGGATCACCTCCCAACTTATGTAATATTTGACCGTTATAACATTAGTGTCCCCAGTCAGTGTATTGCAATTTGTGATTTCAGTCACTTTAGTACTCAGTTTTTTTTACATGATTTGTCCAATATTGAATGGGAAAATGTTTATTTCAGCACTGATGTTTAAAATGTTGCGTATAATAACTTTTATTCCACATTTATCGATGTTTGTAATAAGCATGCACCTTTTGTTGATCGTTCTACAAAAATTATAAATAAGAACCAGAGCCTTGCAGGCGTCAACGTT